TTTTTGTGTTAGCCACGAATGAAACAGTGGCTATAGCCAAATTTTTTACTAGTGATAATATTAACTTATAAACTAATAAAATATTAGAATTTTGAAATTTCCTTAATAAGTCAAAAAATAAAATAATCAACTTAAAATATAATTAATTACAAAAATGATGTGGATCAATGAAATAATTTATATAATTTTTTATAATTTAATAATATGTTAATTTTATTTTTATTATTAATAGAAAAATAATATCTTTACTGTTAAACTTGTTTTTGTTAATAATTATCTAAAAAATTAGAAAATTTTCTAATAACAACAAAAATATAATTAAAATTTAGAAAATTTACTAGTAACAATAAAAACAAAATTATATTAATTATAATATATGTAATTAACTATAGATGATGATATATATTAATATAATTAAACTTTTAAAATTCTATATGAACATCTTTAGAGGCATATAACATTAACTTTTATTAGTATTAGATAAAAAAAGGTTGATTATACGTCAGTCAACATTTTTTGTTTATAATGGTTTTCGATGTTTTAGCTTTGAAGATTTTTTTATATTTGTAAAGGAAGAAAAAAACTTTGAAACTTACTAGTAGAAAATTTCGAGTTAATGAGTTATCCAATAGGAGTCCGATGTAAATGCAGGACTGCTTGATTAAAACCTTTTTGGTAATTAGATATTAAATATTTATTATATATCTCTCTCGTATTATTTTGGGTGTAAAGCAAAAACGGATGATGCAACCGTGCGGGCGGCAGGTGCAAGGCAGGCAAAATGGTTTGACAATCCTTTACTTTAGGGTTTCTTCAAAAGTACTCTGAAAATTTGGGGGATTTTGGTCAACACTGGGAATTGTGTCGATACTTCTCAATAATTATATTTATTAATGAATAGATCGATCAACTAAAGTCGAAATATAGACTATAATCATCATTGTTATGTATCTTAAATGCAATTGACTAGTTGAGAAAGATAATGCAATTGACTAGATACAGTTGCTTTGTAAAACGCAAAAAAACGCGTCTTTAACTAAACAACGTTTCCTTCTTTTTAAAGCAATCCGAGAAAAATAAAGAATAATATTTTGCAGTATCTTATAACAAGAAGAGTAGAAGACTAGAAAGTCTAGAATACTCATTTTGCAATATCTTACTATCTAAGTTATAACTAGTTCGTTGATATTTTTATGTTAGTCAATGGCCATAAATAAATAGAAACAAATAACTAACTTCAAACTTTAAAGATTTGGTTCAGATTATTCTATATTTGTATAAAATAATTTATGATTTCCATTCTTATGCCTGAAATCAAGATTATGCAAAGAGTATAATTATTATTTTAAATTAACAGTTAATTAATTGATTGATCCTGCAATATTAACATGAAATCTAATTTTAATTAAATAATTAATAGCCTGAAATGATATACTTTTGATTACTGAAATGACAACTATTAGGAAACCACGACAAGATATTTTAGGGTAGAATTTCACAAAGATAAAAAGATAGATAGTTAAGTCGAGATATTTAACGGAACAAGCTTATTCTTACGGTGAATCCACTAATTTTTACGATTTGGATGTAAGTCAGACACGAGTATAGAAGATTAAATACTTGTCAAAGTTGAAACATTTTTAGGTAAATAACTTCAGAATATTTGGCAGTCATAGACCGTTGAATGGAAAGTCAATTGTAACCATCAATATAATAGATATGGTACATATATGTAAACTATTAATCATACATTATTTGAATGACCTCCGATATATCAGTTCTGGGCATAATTATCAATACCGACACATATGCATTAGTTTTCCATAGATGTTCTATTTTTTAATATGGCAAAATAATTTGACATCTACCAAACCATGACGATATGAAATTATATCTCTAAATTCTCAAAGTTTAAATAAAAAAAAACAAATTATATTAAACCAAAGTTTATATAGAAACGCGATGCATATAAACCAAAATTTGGTCTGGTTTAAATAAAGTATTAAATCTCGAAATTTATATCTAAATCAAAAAATAAATTATATTATATGTAAACGCGAACAATCAAACTATATGGAAAAATCTCAACCTTAACCAAATATAGAATAAAAAACATATGAAATCTTTTGTATTTACAATTTAATTCTCTTTTTTGTAAAAAATGCCTTTAACTATGAAATATCTTGAAATGTTGTTTCTGTAATTAACCTTTTTGCATAGTTTTTTTGGTATCAATCTGAGAGACAATGTCTCTCAAAATTTTATTTGAAATCAAATCAAACATTACACGCAAACATTAGGAATTTTAGTAATTTCATTGGCGTCATCCGAAACAATCGGAGCGAGGCTGTCTAGTACTGAGTCGAAGAAATGGAAACCTAGAGGTAAAGAGAAGGCATAGTTCGCTAATCCATCGGGTAGACGATTAGCTTCCCTATACACATGCGAAATCCGGACTATTCAGTCCCTCGATATGAAGCCATAGCATGACCGTACTAGGAAAGATAAGGGATGATGATTACTTATCCCTGTCGTAAGAAAACCCACCACAATCTCTGAATCTACTTTCAGCTCTAGCCGCAAAACTCTGTGATCCCAAGCTATATAGAGGCCGTAGTATACTCCCCATAACTCGGCTAATTGTGCTGAACAAAACCCGATGTTAAGAGCGAAACCTCTACACCAGTTGACATTCTCATCTCGTAACACCCCCCAGCTGTTGCAAGCCCCGGGTTACCCCTCGAAGCACCATCCGTGTTCAGCTTAAACCAGTTCTCGGGAGGTGGATACCATGCTATCAATCTTCCTTCTCTGTTGCTTCGATTTGATTGTCCCCGTAGCTTTTTGTGAGCCGACATCACCTCGTGTGCTTGCTCCCGTATAAATCTAGTCCTATCTCGGCATGCTCGTATGGAGCCAAAAACGCTTCCACATCTCCACTTCCATCCCCACCATACTCCCATTGCAAAAACAGTAACTCCCATCTCACCAGAATCACTAAGATTCTCGTGTAGCCACTCCAGTAATGATGCAGTGAAAAATCTCCCCTGGTGTCGCTGCGGTATTATTCTTCTCCAAATCCCCTCCATAGCCGGGCAATCACGAAGCACATGTAGTATCGTCTCTTCTGCCCCCCTACAAACTTGGCAAACACTCGTCACACTCAAATGTCTTCTGTGTCTTTCTGCATTCGTCATAATGACTTGATGAGATACTAGCTACAAAAACAAACGGACTCTTTCTGGCACCGGGGCTTTCCAAATACGGTCATAAAATTTCTCCATGTTCTGGGATGGTGAAGGACTCCTTGTAATGAACGAGTATGCCGATCCCACCGTAAACACGCCATCCTGGTTCTCCCCCCAAGATATTCTATCCCTTGCTCCAGTAACGTCATCCACCACCACTGCTCCCAATCGCAACATGTTGCTTAAGTTAAGATATGGAGCAAGCTGCTGACGTGGCCAACCTTCTCCATTTATCCAGACGTCACACACCTTTGCGTCTATCTGATCCCCGGGAATTGTACACACCGCTATTCCCTCAAGTGATTCATTACTCAACCACTTGTCCTTCCAGAATCTGATCTTTTGCCCATCTCCAAGAATCCACTGCATACCTGGGATCACTATCTCTCGCATCCCTATCCCTATACTCCGCCATGTACTTGATCAATTGCTTTTAACAGTCCTCCAAGGTACGTCCCGTACCTCTGTGACATTGTAGTTCTTCTGCAATACTTTAGCCCACAAGCTCGTGTCATCATGTAACAATCTCCACCCCAGTTTTGCTATAAGCGCTTTATTCATATCTTGAGCTCTCCTAATTCCCAAACCTCCTTCTCTTTTCGGCAAGCAGACTCTATCCCAAGCAACTAGATGTTGTTTCCTCTGCTCTATTGTACTGCCCCATACAAACGATCTGGATACTCTATCAAGCCTTGACAATATCGATTGGGGTAGCATAATAGAGCTCATCGAGTGGACCGGGAGTGACGATCGAACCGATTTCGTAAGTGTTAGTCTCCCCGCAAAACTCAAGCACCGTCCCTTCCACCCTGCCAACCGTGAGGAGACTCTCTCCAGAACTTCTCCAAATGTCTCCCTGTTGATTTTCTTCTGGAGTATGGGCATCCCCATATATTTGCCCAACTCTCTCGTGGCCTTAATGCCGCTCTCATCACTGATCTGTTTGCCCAACTCCGATGATACATTCTCTGAGAAGAAGTTCTTTGATTTGTCGAGGCTTACTTTCTGCCCTGAAGCCACACAAAATCTTTCCAACACCTTTCGGATTACTCTGATGTGGCTAACAGAGGCTTCAGCGAAAAGTATTAAATCGCCAGCAAAACAAACATGTGAGAGTTCGGGCCCTCCTCTTGACAGTCGTATTGCTTTCCATTCCTTCACAGCCACCGAGTGTTGAATGAGGTGACAGAGCCTCTCGATGCACATAACGAACAGGTATGGGGACAAAGGATCTCCCTGTCGAAGTCTTCGCTGTGGTTTAAACTCCTCTGTTTTCTCCCCGTTCCAGAGTAAGCGCATGAGATACCTGTCACACAAGTCATAATCCAATGTATCCAAGCCTCCAGCAAATTCGCCGCTTTCAGAGTATCCTCCAGAAAATCTTATCGGATTCTGTCGTATGCCTTCTCAAGGTCAAGTTTCAACAACATCCATCCTCTACGTCTTTTTTTCCTCCTAATCGAGTGAATTGCCTCCTGAACAATGACTATATTGTCAACACTTAGTCTTCCAGTGATAAAATTTGACCGCGCCGACCCTATCACTTTCGTCATCAAACCTTTAAGCCTTAACCTTTTTGCATAGTAGTACTACAGTATAAGCAAATACACTAGTAAAATAACTAAAATTAATGACAAATTAAATGCTTAGTCTTGGTGACTCGGTCGTACAAGTAAGTTAATGTTGCAATTAGTAATAGCAGTAAATGGAAAATATATGCAGAGTCAAATGATTAATATATGAACTAGACTTGGAGAGAAAGCCTAGAAAGCCTAGAAGCCGTTGTCCATGAAATTAAAAGAAATACGAAAGTGATACTATCATCATATATCTAAGTGACAATATTAATAATAATAAACCGAAATTAATGTCATCAAGAGAGACGTACCGTACCATTAAAAATATTTTTGGTTTTTCTTCGACAATATATATATATTTTTTTTATCAAATCATAAACTCATCAGTAATCAAGCCAAGATCAACGACGAACGGAACCACCCAAAAACCCTAAAATCTCAAGACGGATCAACAGTACGACGACCATCATCTCCGGCCGCCGCTCTCGGCTGCTGAAACTGAGTTATCTGTCCAATCGCAAGAATCCCTCCGTCGTAGTTGTTACTGGCGGGAACATCTAACCCACCAAACATCTGCTCTCTAGGGAAAAACTGGTGGTGATGAAAGTGATGGTCCCTCACCGTTGCCGTCGTAGTCCCATCCGCTGCGGCGCCGGCGAGTAAGTTGATCCCGAGGCTCTGATGCGTGGCGGCGAGGATACCAAGACTCTGGTACTTAGAGAGCTCTGATTTTGCGCAGCTAAGATCGATCTGAAGCTGACGTAGCTGGTGCTGGAGAAGAGAGATGACTCCGACGCAGCCGTAGACCGGATCACGGAGACGCATGTCGGCTTCATAAGCTAAAGAGTTCACTGCGTCTTCACGTTGTGAAGGGTGAAGCTCGTTGAGGAGCTTCGTGACGTTGCTTGCTCCAAAGACTTTGTGAACGTTTGCGAATTTCTGCGGCTGGTCCGGTGGAAAATACGGCGCGAATACACATTCTGGTTGGCATTTTCGCCGGAGGAATTTGCAGGCTGCGCATGGTGAGTTTGTTGATGAAGATGCCATTTTTTCTTTTATGACTTTTCGACTTATATCTCTCTCTCCCTACACGAAGCCGCCATTGAAATTGAAAAAAAATTAGGGTTTTTTATCGATTTTTTTTTTAATTGGAGGAAGAAGTTAGATATATATATATATATAGGGAAATATAATATTACGAAAATCAGTTCTGAAATGATAATGAGATTTGGAGAATTCTTTTTGTTTTGATAATGAAATATGAAATAGATGACAAAAGAAAATAATAATTTAGAGATGTTGTTAAATCATTATAATAAGAAAGCTTATACCTGCGAGTAAGATTAAACAAGTCCTCTTTGGATATGGTTTCTGTTTCTCTGAAGGGAAAGGAAAAGGAGATCCGCTCTGCTTTACTCTAAGCTATTATTTGGGGTTGCATACAAAAAGCTGTAAAATAAGAGAAAAAATGTAATTACCAGCTAGTATTTAATATATTTGGTATGCTATATATACAACACACGATGTATTTTATATACATGTATTTATATATATAGTTTTATATGCACTCGAACCTTCTTGTCCAACTGTTGATAACAAGTAGGGAAACAGAAGAAATATGAGCAACATGAAGGTGCTTTTCTAAAGTCAAACATAAAGGTATGCACCAAATATAATATATGCTTAGAAGCTATAAAAGATCATCCCAAAGACCTATAGCTATGTGTATGTAGAGAGAGGGACTTTGTAGCTATATATGATTGCTAGTCAAATTTTGCTAACTAGACCTAAAAGTGTAGAGACAACCTGAGAAATTTGTAATGTTTATATATGAAAACAAAAGAGAGAAATAAATTTAATTTGTGTACCTTATAAATAGTATGCGTATGGAAGGATTGATGAAATATAAGGAATAAAAAAGATAAGGATCAATGGTGTTCTTTGTGTTGCTTAGATAGGTAGGTGTGAGAGGAGGGAAGAAGAAGAGAAGAGAGGGTTGAGGATGTTATTAATAACTAAAAAAAGCAAAAGATTGGATCTCGTGAAGCTAGAAGAGACTTTTGGGTTTTGAGGCTCTCGATGGGCAAAGCTCATCTTCTGCTTAAATTTCAAAAATTTTTATTCAATTTAATAGATTATTTTGTAGAAAAAAGGAGCTCATAAATATGATAAGACTAGTATTAATTATTTTTAATTTTTAATTTATACTAATAAATAACTATAAACATACCTTCTACAATAGTAATATATATGATTTGGTGGTACTAGAGGGAACTGATTTCAATGTGAAGAAGTTGGGAGTTTCTAAGATGAAAAGAGAAGCGAAAGAAGAGGGGATCTTGGGATGAACCCTTGGACCCTAGCATAGACTCTAACAACAACACTAACAATAAATGTAATATTATTAGTATTAACTTGTAAAATAATATATATATATAAAGTTTTTTTTTAAAAAGAGAGAAGGAAATAAATGTGAAAAGGAGAGATGGGAAATGAGAGATGGGGTCTGACTCTGACTCTCCTGATGGATCTTGGGATGAAGAATTTTGCTCTTTTTATTCTTATTCTTTTTGTCTAGGGATTTACATACAGTAACGAAGCATTTTGTTATTACTATTATTACACTCTATAGTAATAATACGATTATATTATATGATACGGCTGACAAAAATCACAAATACAGAGAAAAAGAGAGTAAATTGGTGATTGAGTAGAAATGATGGTAATGAAACTTACCAGCCTCAGTTTCCTCGGTCAAACCCTCTTTTTCATGTTAGTTTACATAAAAATCAATAGGAATCTACTGCCATCTTCTTTCTTATCTTCTCTCTCTTTCTCTTAATAACAATATATTAATATTATATTAGGCTCATGCAAGTGTTTTATTTTTGGACTCGCTAGTTTTGCGCAAAGTTAAAAGAAAATAAGAAAATAAGTGAAAGAAAAGAGGAAGGCATAGAAAGATGATGAGTTTTTAGGATCAGTACTACTCTCCCTAAGGTGTAGGGAGAGAGAGAGAGAGAAAATCGCCCAGATGCAGAGGCTAAGGAAACGGAGAGAAAGAACAACTTTTATGGTGTGTCGATATATAGATAGATAGAGAGAGAGAGACTAAGTAATCACGGACTCTGTCTTTCTTCTATATCTATCTATATACACTTCTCTATATATACACTTTCCTCTACAAGAAACTTAGGATACAGACCAAGAACATTGTTTGTATAATGATATTAAACATCTTCTTCTTTTCTTTTGGTAAAAATACTAAACATCTTCTTTGTTATGGAGTTTAAAAATTAAAACAACATTATTATACCCCTTAAGATTAGGTTCTAGTATTTTGAATGTACATCTGAGTTATAGTATTTTCTAATCTACCGAAATTATAAAAATTAAAAATAACAGTATTTATTATGGCGGTTTTGCTTTTTTAGCTAGTGACTCTTTCTGATATATCTTATTATATAAAGACCTCTGTATATATACATTTTCCCATACGGGGAAATTAGGACATAGGCCAAGAACTTTTTTTCTATAATTTAAAACATCTTCTTTGTTATGGAGTTTAAAAGTTTTTTCCAATGTTCTTGAGATTAGGTTTTATTTTTTTGAATCTTAGATTGTATTCCGAAATTTAAAGAAAAAACATTAAGCATGAATTAGGATGATTTATTTGGGTTGGGGACAGAGGCACCGTTTTTTAGATGTTTTAGTTTTTAGTCATTTCGATGTTAATAATTGAGGACACATTCAAGAACATCCCAAGAGCCAAGACACACGAACCAATTACACAATTAGCTGTCGTATAGTCTGTATTGCTTCTTCTTTTTATTACCTCTTAATCGAGATTAACTATGGAGCATGGAGATTGATATACAGTTTGGTGCAGATCTTAGATTAAGAAGTCCTAGTAAATCTTCTATAAAACCCGAACATGTCCTCTTTTGTATAACAACATTACCACTTCCTAGTATTATTTCATTCAGATTCATTTTACATATCCAACATTATTGTGGTGGCTGTTCGTAATAACTTTTTTTTTTTTAATATCTGAATCCTCAACCAATAGAACCAAATTAAAACATTATAACCACTTTCATTAAATTTGTATTTGTACCTTATGTACAACCAAAAATACTATAGAAAATTGGTCTAAGAAGTTATCAAGATTTTAAACTTTCTTTTTCCACTACTTGTCTTTTATTAGTTTTTGGTTTGAAGTTAGGCTAAGCAAAAGTTATATGCGGTTTAAACACTAGATTAGCCATCCCCTAATGGTAGCGACTAACCGATCGAGGTTTAGGTGTGTCGTTTAAAACTAATATGAACTAAAACTTAGTTGGTTTCTACGGTTAAACCGATATGGCCGGGTCATAACTTTTTATGTACGACCTAACCTAACGAAGAAACGTGCAAAGGGAAGAAATGATTTTTATCTTATGACATTAAACATTAGTCAATTTGGAGAGAGAGGCATGAATGGGAAATGAACAGAAGCAAGTGGGTCGTGGTTGTATATTGCATTGTTGTAATTACTGTTGGAGCAGAGTTCTGCAACACTATTTACTCGTACCCATTTTCAAACGACAACCATTCCTTTTCATTTAATTTTTATTATTAATTTTTGATATTAAACAGTTCATGTCTTCATGTTCTTTGTCTTCTTCCTTCGTTTATAACAATGGGTCCAAAAATCGTAGAATTCACACCATATGGATGGTAACACCCCTCTTCTCCAATTTAATATTCATAATAAGTATGTTTGGCTTATATCATTTTCATATTGTTTCTATTATTATATTATATATACATTGCGTCTTCTTATAAAACTTGCTTGGATTTAATTACAATGTTTTCCACACTTCAGGGCCTACGCTTATTACAAGGTTTATATATACTAATTTTAGTGATCGCAAAGTTTATTGTTCATCTTGAATTTTGAAAACGTTTCCTGAACATTCAAGTATCAGAAAGTAAGACTGAAATAGTAAAATCGAATACTTCTAAAATAGCTACCCTAGAAGGAACAGTCAATGGAGCTATCTACTTTTTGACTAGTCTTACGATTTAACATCCTTATTCAGAATTTTTATGGTGACATGAAAAAGATTGGAATAGTTTGTTTGATTAACGAAGCATTTTAAGCAAAAAATTAGTTTTAAATTGTTAAATTCTATAGAATTCCAACTCAAATCAATTAAATAGATTAGCTCATATTACTATTAGGATATATCTTATGGTAGATAAATATGACTTAAAGATAAGTCCTAAAGGGTTGGATATATCCGTTGTATAGTTTGCTAATTAGATATATACGAGTTGGTGTAGGCCGACTTAATGAGTTGTATATATACGTTGTATAGTTTGATCAATAAAAACAACACATTCTATTGATTTCTACATGGTATCAGAGTCCAGATCCTAAATTATGTGGCTCAATACGTGTCTAAGTACTTAAGCATCTTGTTTTCTCGTTTTCTCGTTTTCTGAAAGTAAACCAAACTCTAGATTCTCAATGGCTGACGACAAAGCTGTTGTGATTAGAGGAAAATCGGCAGACAACGTGATTGTCTCGCCTTACTCTGTTTTCTCGTCAGACAATCCAGGATCTATGATCACCGCTGTGCAACTGAAGGGAGACAACTATAACGAGTGGGCAACAGAGATGTTGAACGCTCTGCAGGCAAAGAGGAAGACCGGCTTCATCGACGGTACGATGAAGAAACCAGCGGAAGGTTCACCGGAACTAGAGTCATGGCTCAGCGTGAACTCCATGATCGTCGGATGGTTGAGAACTTCGATTGAACCTCGTGTTCGATCGACGGTGACATTCATCACCGATGCTCATAAGTTGTGGGAGAATCTCAAAGCAAGATTCTCGGTGGGTAACAAGGTGCGTGTGCACCAGTTGATGAGTAAATTGGCGTCGTGTCGTCAAGACGGACAAGCTGTGATTGATTATTATGGACGGCTTGCCAAGATGTGGGAAGAACTGCAGACGTATAAACCTGCACCATCTTGTACGTGTGAAGCAGCTGCCGTGTATGAGAAGGAAAGAGAAGACGAACGTGTTCATCAATTTGTTATGGGACTTGACGAGTCACGGTTCGGCCATGTTGTTACAGCTATCATTGAAGCGGATGTACTACCCGACCTCGGAAAAGTTTACGCCAAAGTAACCAGAGAAGAGGATAGACTTAATTCTGCCAAAGCTCGTGAGCAGCAAGATGCCGTGGGGTTCTTGACACGTCGTGAAACTCTGCAGGAGGAATCAGCAGGAGCTCCAATTCCTCGCCGTGATGCTCGGGCAGATTCATCTCAAGGAGGAGGTGGAAACAGAGGCACACAAGATCGAGTTTGCTCTCACTGTGGTCGTTCTGGTCATGAAAAGAGCACGTGCTGGCAGATTGTTGGTTATCCAGATTGGTTTTTGGAACGTGGAGGAAGAGGTGGACGTGGTGCTAGCAGAGGAGGAGGTCGTGGTGGCTCTGGTGCAGGGTATGGAAAGGGACGCGGACAAGTGAATGTAGCACAAGCAACAAGTCCAAATGCGTCTGCAGCAACTACAGATCTTACACCAGATCAGTGGAGAGCAATATCGCAGATCATAAACAACAAAACTAGTGCATCATCCGATAAATTGGCTGGTAAGAAACTTGGTGATGTGATTCTTGACACCGGAGCATCACATCATATGATCGGGAATATTTCGCTCCTAGTTAATGTCAAGGGAACCTCGCCTTGTATGATTGGATTTGCAGATGGGAGTACCACAATGTCATCACAAATGGGCATGTTGCCCTTGTCGGATCGTATCTCGTTATATGATGTCTTATACGTTCCGGATCTTAATTGCTCCTCGATATCAGTTTCAAAGCTTTTGAAACACTCAAATTGCTTTGCATTCTTTACTGATACTCTATGTGTCTTGCAGGACCGTTTTTCGAGGACCCTGATTGGAGCCGGTGAAGAACGTGATGGGGTTTACTATTTTACGGATGTGTTGACTGCTCGTGTGAACAAGGCTGAAGTGAAGTTTGATCAAGTGTTGTGGCATAGGCGGTTAGGGCATCCTGCGTTTTCGGTGTTGTCGTTTTTACCTGAGCTTTCTGGTGTTTCTGGTTTTTCAAATTCAGCTAACCCGAGTCCTTGTGACACTTGTTTTCGGGCTAAGCAAACAAGGGAGATTTTTCCTGATAGTATCAATAAAGCTTCCGAGTGTTTTTCCTTAATACACGTTGACGTTTGGGGGCTATACCGATTACCTGCTTCGTGTGGAGCTGTGTATTTTTTAACCATCGTAGATGATTTCTCACGAGCTGTGTGGACCTACTTACTGTTAGAGAAATCACAAGTTCGAGATGTGTTGCAAAATTTCTGTGCTTATTCTGAAAAACAATTTGATAAGCCTGTTAAAGTGGTACGTAGTGATAATGGGACGGAGTTTTTGTGTCTGACGTCGTTTTTCAAGAGCAAGGGAATTGTTCACCAAACAACTTGTGTAGGAACACCACAACAGAACGGTAGAGTAGAGAGAAAGCACCGTCACATTTTAAACGTAGCACGTTCCTTATTGTTTCAAGCTAGTATGCCAACTACATTCTGGGAAGAAGCTATTTTGACCGCCTCACATGTCATTAACATGACGCCTTCGAAGCTGCTCAAAGGAAAGACGCCGTATGAAGTTTTGTTTAATCAACAACCACCATATTCAGAATTACGGGTTTTTGGCTCTTCATGTTATACTCATAGGCAAGCTCGAGACAAAGATAAGTTTGGTTCACGTAGTAGACGGTGCGTCTTTGTTGGA